CAATACTTTGAATTGCTGAAAGGGTGAGGTTGGGGTATCTCTAGCCTTCCACCTGATTTTGTGCAGAAAAAAATCTCAAAAAACCAAGCCTGTGGTTAGAGGGTTGCAGGGTCCAGAATGCCATGTTGGGAAAGTGGCCATATTCTGCTGCTTCTTGCTGGGCCATTCTTGGGACTGAACACCCCCTCCCCCACAAGGATTTTCGGCAGGGGTCAGAGGGGGCCTTCTGCTTCATAATGATAAGGATGGTTTTGAGCGATAACTCTCAGTGGTAGCTCAAGAGGCTGGGTGGGGTCAGAGGAGGTTCCCAAACAGGAGATGGGGACCTCAACTCACTCTGGGGAGTGGGTTCTTGAATTGTTGCAGAAAAAAGGAGTCTTTCTTTTTCTTTTTTCTGTTTACCTATTTATTTATTTTTACTTGTTTCATCTTTTGAGACAAGATCTTCTACCCAGTTCAGGCTGGCCTTGAGCTGGAGGTGATCTTTCTGCCTTAGCCTCCCGAGTGCTGCGATTACAGGTGTGTGCCACCAAGCCCGGCTCAGCAAAAGAATTTCAGTAAGTAAGCCAGGTGTGGTGGCGCATGCCTGTAATCCCAGCACTCTGGAGGCTGAGGCAGGAGGATCACTGTGAGTTCCAGATCAGACTGGGCTACACAGTGAGTTCTAGGTCAGTCCCAACTACACAGTGAGACCCTGTCTCAAAAAACAAACAAACAAACAAACAAAAACAACCAAAAAAGAATTTCAGTAAGTGTCAGCGATAAGCATGGTCTATTAGGCAAAGTGAAAAAGGAAGAGAAAATAGGGAGGGAACTTCAGCTTGAGGGGCAAAGGGGCACAACTCTGATGAGGCGTCATCCTGACCTATGAACAAAATGTCAGGCCATATTTTATGGATTTGCCTTGTGGTTCATTATCTCTGTTCTGATGTTGCAAGATGGCTTTAGAAGAGTCCTACAAAATTAATCAACGCAAGAGATTATTTCCCTGAGGGCAGCCTCTGGGGAGGCTCTGCTGGGATCCCAAGTGACTGTGATTTCAGGGGTTGACTGGCAGCTCCACGGTGTCCCTGAGAGTCCCTCTGCATCCCTCAGTGGCACCTCCGTGTGGAGAGAGGCTGAGACAGGGTGAGGAAGCTGAGGGCTGATCAGCATCACTGGCCTTCTGTAGACAGACCCTTCCCACGTAATCAAGGTCTCTAGGCAGTGAAGGAAACAGATGCCAATGGAGGCAAGTGTTGTTACTTATTTTATTTATTCCCCCCCCACTGGGAATCGAACTCAGGACCTTGAATTTAAGATCCAGGCACAGTGCCACTGAGCTAAATCCCCAGCTTGTCTTCCTTCCTTCCTTCCTTCCTCCTTCCCTCCCTCCCTGCCTCCCTTCCTTCCTTCCTTCCTTCTGGGAATCAAACTCAGGACCTTGTGGTGCCACTGACTTCAATCTCCAGCATGCTTTGTTACTTTAGTTACCTCTTGGGCATCTATAAGTGTGAAGGAAGAGTCGGTGGTGTCTGTACTTTCTTTCATTTGTTTTGAGACAGGGCTCACTATGTGATTCAGGCTGGCCTCAAATTTGTGGTGATCCTCCTGTCTCAGACTCCTAAGTGCTAGTCATACAGGTCTGTGTCACCATGCCCCATTTTGTTTTTGTTTTTTTTTTGTCTTTGGGGTTTTGCTGTTGCTGTTTTTAAGCAATAACTACTTTTAGGTTTCTGATTGTCTCAGAAGAAAGCACAGATTGTGCCTTTAATGAATAATAGCCTAAGGACCTGTGAGTTTGTCTGTCCTGTGTCCCTAAGGTGGTTTCGGACTGGGTTGTGAGAATCTGTGCTTGTGCTGGCTAAGAAAATTCCAGAAACATCTTTCCTGCTCAAGTTGACCGCAGGTAATGAAGTAGACACGTGGGCAGGGATCTGGGACTCAAACACCCCTTGAAAGTTTCTGGTGGTAAAATGAGAGAGCCCAGATAAAAACCAGGTTTGGAGGAGGTGAATAATGAGTGCACAGTAGAGCTGTGTGACCAGCTTTACTTGGAGACGGAGGACACCCTGCCCTCCCAGCTACTAAAGTTCCCGGTTGCTCAAGTCCTTCAGGTGAATGCTATAGGATTTTTAAAACCTACCCACAGTCTCCCATGGATTATAATTCCTAATCTGGTGTCAGCACTAGATAAATAATTGTTATACTGCATTATTTGGGGAATAATGACAAGAAAAAACTCTGTACATGTTCAATACAGATACAATATACACTTCCCTTCCGATATATTTTGTTTTTTGATGTGGATTTCTTTCTTTTTTTGGAGACAAGGTCCTATAATATAATCCAGGCTGGCCTTGAACTATGTGGGTTGGCCTCTAACTAACTCATCCTCCTCCTGCCTCAGCCTGCTGAGGGCAGAGATTACAGGCATGTGCCACCACACTTGATTCCTCTGAATACTTTTGACCCATGTTTGTCTGAACCTGCAGACATACAACCCGCGGATAGTGCCAACTCTGTTAACAATTCCTGGAGGACAACCTTGGTGGTCCAGCCAAAGCAGACATGTTTGGCCTGGAGAGAGAGAGGTCTGGGAAGCAAGAGTGTTTCCAGAGTTTTAGGGCAAAAGTTCCAGCCAAAGGGGTCGCATAAGAAAGGCTTGTCCACCTGCCCACGCAGTGAGGCTGCTTTTAATTACTCACTGAGCGTCGGCAGGCCCAGCCTCTAGGTCTTATCAGAGGAGGAGACGGCTGACCTTGAAGGGGGAAGGGGGAAAGGCGGGGAGGAAGAGGCCTCAGGGAACGCCAACATTTCCAGAGTAGAGCCAGAGCCAGATCTTTTCACCGACCTCGGTAAACTAGACTCGGTGATATTATCACAAGAAAAGAGCTTCCAGGAGCCACAAGTCAATGGAATGTTACCTAATCGTCGAAGAAGAAAAAGATTGTAAATAAACAAAGGGATGTGGCCACTGGAAGGTCTCAGATGAGGCTGGAGGAAGCTGAGTGGCAGGGTTTGAGGAGGGGTGGGGAGGGGCAGAGGTGGGGGAACCTGCCGCCAGGAAGGTCCGGGGGAGGGACTGGGGAACCGCTAACGGGCCAGAATTAACGTCGCCAGCAGGGAAGGGGCAGACAGCAGCTCTGGGAGTCTCGAGCTTGGCACTTCCCTTCCAGTCCAGAAAGTCCATATCCTTGCTGAGCAGAACACACATTATTAAAAAAAAAAAAAAAAAAAAAAAAAAAAAAGCTGGCTAAAAGATGTTCTCATCCATTGGGGTTGAAAACGATGGTTATGGGGCGGTGTGTGTGTTTTGCTCTGCTTCTGGTCACAGTTTCTTATTTTTTCTGTTTTTAAGGAAGGCCAAATACTTGGCCTTCCAGAGTATACAAATACTCGTTTTGTTTTTATTTTACATTTTTGGTTTTTGAGACAGGATCTCACTAGGTAGCCCAGGCTGGCTTTAAACTCACGGCCACCCTCCTGCCTCAGCCTCAGCCTCTGCCTCCTCTCGAGGGCTGGAAGTATCACACCCGGCTTCTTTTTATTTTATTTTTCATCCTTTCGTACTTTAGAATATTCCCCTAGGTGTTGGTTATCTTCACATCCACCCCACCGTACATCCCTAGTTTCAAGGATAAAATCTTAACTGCGAGGTTAATGGAGTCCGCAATTTTTCAAGGCTTCCAAGAGTTGCTGGGAAGCCAGCGCTCTGTCACTAGGGCAACAGAGCGATTACGATAACGCCAGGTTTGAGGCGCAAGGTTTAAGAAAGAGTAAATGAGGAGCCCTCCAGGCCTCCAGCCTCACCGGGTGGGGGCCCATCCCCGAGTCTCAACCCCTCAGGGCTGGGTTTGCCCCGCACCAAAGCAGCCACTCACAACTCTGAGCGTCTGGAGCTCGCGCCGCCCAGCCACCTACCCGTAGGCAGCCCCTGGGGACATTTTAGGAAACGCCTAAACCCCCTGTCCCCGGGAGGACCCGAGCCCCGGGAATCCAAGTCTGAGCGGCGTGGCTCACGGCCTCCTGAGACACCGTAACGAGGACCCTCTCTCCCCGAGGAGAGAAACTCGGTGGGGACGCGGCGACACCGCATTGAAACAGCCCCTCTCGCGCCCCGCACACGG